GTGGCGTGGTCCCCAACTGCCAAGGAACAGAATGTGGGAGTGTTGGGATGAAGCTAAGAATTAGGGCATTTTGTCTAGCATGGGTGAAGCTCTATGTTCAATCAGCAGGAGGACCTGAGAGTGGGGAGGAGGATCCAGGGAGCAGAGTAGTACTAAATCAGAAACTGTCTAGGTAGGTAGGTAGGTAGGTAGGTAGGTAACACATCCCTATAACTCCAGCAGTCAGGAGGCTGAGGCAGGAAGGATTAGAGTTTATAGACAGTGTGGGATATACAGCAAGACCCTGTCTCTAAAACGTAAGTTAAGAAATTTAAAACGTGGTTTGTTCTCCAGAAACAAGACTTATTCTAGATTTTTCTTCCCCATTAAGTGCACACCATGACCTTGTGCTCTCGGCCCTTCCCGTAAACTGGAAATTTCATGAGCACCAATCATGGGATTGTTATAAATCTTCCATAGAAAACATGTAGCAAAGCAGCTGGCATACATTTAGAGTGCAAGAAATAGTATCTATCATTTCATGTGCAAGTGTGGTACTCGAGGCCTTGTGCACAAGCTGAAGAAATTTTCTACCACTGTACTGTATCTGCTGCCCCAATATTACCTACTACTGCTCGGTTCTTCTCTTTCTTTTCTTTTTATTGACAATCTGGGTGTGTACCCAGGCTGCCTTCAAATTCCTGATCCTCCTCCCTCGGCTTCCTCAGTGCTGGGTGGCTATCACTGGGCTTGGTTTCTATTGGCTGATAGGCTACTTCCTATCAGTTATTCTCCACTGATGAATTCAAGCCAGATTAGATTATATATGGGCAGGTATATTGAAAAGCTGATCTAGGTAGGGCCCAAAGACCAAGGCCAGGGAAGTCACCATGGAGAAAGAGAGGCAGGGAGGGGGAAGAGAAAGAAAGGGCATGCACTCACAGAGAGGAGAGGAAAGGGAGGAAGAGAGAGGGAGAGGAAGGGAGAGAGGGAGAGAGCCCAAAATGTCTGGATTATATAGGGAAGAACCTCTGTGGAAAGGTCAACCCAGCCCCTGGGATGGAAAATTCAGGATTAGGGGCAAGGTAGGCCAGGTAGGGATTGAGGGATGCTGGGAGAACCTGGAGGCCAGGTCTGCTTTGCTATGTAAAATATGCACCTCAGTTTCTTGTCCTGGGGTGGGGGTGGGGGTCGGAAACCACACCTTGGTTATTTCTAAGAAAGTTTCTATGCCCTCAAAATGAATACCTGAACCAGCGAATATATAAGGTGTCTGAGAAATTTTTAAAAATGTTCTATTAAGTTTACTGTTTCCTCCTCTTGTGGACCCAGCTGGGACAGTGTGCCTGACAAACAGGCAAAGAAGCCACTGAGTGAACAGGAAAAAGGGAATGGACTATTGTGTACTTCTGATAAGAAGAAATCAAACAAACCTTAATGAAGTAGGATGAGCCCCTGCATTCTAGAACCTTCTGCCAAGCATGGGAAGAGCTAGCGTTTTTTACAGTGGATGCAAGCAATCTCCAAAAACAAGGGATCCTTGGGTTCCTCAACTCACTGACAGGCATGCTCAGCCTCCCATGCTCCTCAGAGCTGGCTGTGTTTGTTTTCGTCGGTCTCTGCCGTTACATATCGGATCTAGGACTTTTCCTGCTTAATATTTAACTCGCTCTGATGTTCCTGCACCACACAGTTCGTGGACTAGCAGGGTCGAATTTAAGGGCTCCTGTCTGTTTCCTTAGCTTGCGGTGCCGCAAAAACACAGGTTTTATATAATCTGGTCTTGTTCTGTTTCAGCCACCCCCTACCTAAACAAGGTCAATATAAAAGTTCCAGCAAATCAGGCGAGCCCAGGCCACCCGATGCTCCGCCCAGTCAGACTGAACCGCAAGGTGCCACTCTCCACCATCGTTAAGCCCTTGTTAGGAATCTTTGTGGACCCAAGCATAGCAGACTTCCAGAAATGGGCTTAATAATTAACTCCAAGGGACCAAAGAACAATGAACACGAAATAAAATCTTACGAAGCAGAGAGAGTCACACAGAATGAAAAACACGGGGAAAAGTTATCAAGTTCTGGGAGGAAAGAGAGGAGGTTGTAAAGTCTTGAACGAGCGCGTCCTTATTTTGCTGGGTGTTTTGACAGATGTTCCCGGCAAGCAGCAGCCTGCGCTTCCACTTTCTGACCACAGAAAGCATGTGTGAACAGAAGCGCTGGGAGGTGGTGTGGCTTACGTCATCTCCAGCACCTCTAGACTTAGAGGCCGCCCACGGACGCATGTGTTCAGGACAAGGCCCTTCTCTGTAATCAAAACTAAATCTCCAACATATCCCAAGAGTGTAGCTGTGGGATATACCATACTGCAACTGTACACATGTTAATTACTTTATTGCTTTTCTAACAAGCTGTAAAAACTCTTTGGCGTCTGATAGAGCCGGAACTAGATACTGCTAGCTAGTCTTGTTGCATGATTTCACACAGAATTTTTAAGCCCTTACTTATGTAATGTGTGTATGTGCTGTGTGTGTGTGGGGGGGGGTGCACATATATCACAATGTACGTGTATATATATGGAGGTCAGAAGACAACTTGCAGTAGCCTGGGTCTCTCCTTCTACTATGTGGGTTTTATAGGGGATTAAATTCAATTGCCTGGATTGGTAACAATAAGTTATTTCTCAACACTGGAGGAGCAAGTCAATTCAAAACAGATTAAAATATACATAATGTAAGTTTATTGCAAAAAGGCTCTCTGGTGGTTGAGTTCACAGGCCCCAAGGGAAGAGGACAGAGTAATCACCATGGTAAGGGACACAGAGGAGAGGGGAAAGAGAAAGAGAGTACGGTTAAGAAAGAAGAAAAAGGGGGAAGAGAAGAGCAGAAGAAAGAGAGGGTGGATAGGGAGACCAAAAGGTCTGGATTATATAGGGAAGAGCCTTTGGAGGACGGGCAGTCCAGTCCCTGGGCTGGAACTTTTAGGGTTGGAGGAGGGATATGTCAGGTAGGGACTGAAGGATGCTGGGAGAACCTGAAGGCCAGGTCTGAGTTGGTATATAGAAATATGCCCCTCAGTCCCTAGTCCCTGGTGTGAAATCAGATAACAAGGCTCTTTACCTGCTGAGCTATCTCACCAGCTCTACATTTTAGGTTTTGAAGGTTACACCTGTTAGTTATTTCTGCATTATTTTAAGTTTTAGCTGATTAAGATTTGAATTTAGGCAGATGTGTTTGGTGGTGGCCTGGCTGTAATCCCAGTATGTAACCCACAGAAGATGTGGGAGGGTCAGGAGTTCAAAATCATCTTCAGCCTCCTATCAGTTTTGAGGCTTGCTTGGGCCACATTAAGAACCCATTTATATAAGAAACAAAACAACCAACCAAGGGCTGAAGAGATGAGTCAGATTTTTAGAGCACTGGCTACTCTTACAGAGGACCCAGGTTCATTTCCCAGCATCCACAGGGTAGCTCAGAACCATCTGTAACTCCAGTTCCGGGGAGAACCAATGCCTTCTTAGATCTTTCTGGGCATCAAGCATGCATGTGATGTAGACATACGTGCAAGCAGAACACTTATACACATAAAATAAACATTTAAGATCTGAAATCAGTGAAAAAATTATAAAAAAAATTTATAGCTAAAAAAATGTAGGTGTATCTTTTTGTGTATTTTATTTGCTTTCTTATATCTACTTCCCTCCCTTCCAACCTTTACTTTTCTACACAAAACACCAGGTAGGAGAGAAAAGTTAGTGGGGAAATTAAGTGTAGGTCTTTTTAAACTACTTCCTGCTGGATAGGAGTATTGAGTTCCTTGGGGCAAAGTCCAATCTTTGTTTAGTCAGGATATGCCCAGTTTCTTCTTGTCTTTTTTTTTTTTTTCTCTAGACCATCAACAACAGCAGAGCAGGAACCAGCAGGAGAAACAGCCACCCTCTCACCACGCTTCTTCAAAGTGCCCTCTCAGGGCTGTGGCATTTATACTCTCTCCAGAGTCCTCAGAATTATACTATCTGTAGCTGGCAGAATCATACCCTAGCCAGAGTGCACATGAGACAAATAGTCTGCTGCTGTGGAAAATCAGAAGAAGTCCTATATTCCACGAAAGGGATTAAGACAAAGACATGTTCGCATAATATACCAAAACTCTCCCTTTAGAAATAAGTATAACAAAAATCCAAGATGATTTGCCAAGTCCTGCATAGCCTTATGGAAAGGACAGCCTGACACAGTTCTCACCCATGGAGCAGAGTTAGCAGGACCTGGGCCTCCACCAGGGTTGATGGTTGCTAGGCATAAGGCTTGTTTGTATAATAATGTTTGTATTCTACTTCATGTTCCTCCTTTGGGAAATATTCTCCATGCCAAGGTTAATGATTCCATGATAATTAGAAATAGCAGGAGACCAGAAGGTGAGGGTGTGTCTAGTGCTCCTCAGATGTGGTAAACATTGTGACCTTCAGGACAGTCCTGAAGACTGTAGGAAAGAACTCTGAAAACATGAGTTCATGAATGTATAACTTCTCAACTGTGCAAAATATATAAGGATGCAATATGAATTGTATAAAGGGCTTCATGGACCAAAAAGAACAAAAGCAGCTGCATTAATGAACCAGCTTGTCAGAAAGATACAAAGGCAAGCAGACTTCTGAGTTCAGGGTCAGTCTGGGACAGAATAAGTTTATGTCTAGGCCTGGAGGGAATGGGTGATTTCAGGATGGGATCCCACCCAGATAAACTTATTGTGTTTACAAAGGCAGGCAGAGCTCTGAATTAATTTGCTATGTTAAAAAAAAAGTGTTTGCTGTCTCTAAGAATCAGGAGGCTAAGGTCATAAAATGCTGATTCGTGGGATAATCAAAAGGGAACCTGGGTAAATGACTGAATTGATATGTAAATAAATGATTGGGCTTTGGGCTGCCAGAGATGAGCTACCCAGAGAGAACTGCTTGAAGAGCAAACACAGCTCTTTTAAAATTTTCCTAGCAGAATTTCTGACTTTAGTTGGAAAACCCAAGAACTATCCAGTCATTACTGTTCTTTTAGAATTTTTTTTTAGCAGGATTTCTGACTTTGGTTGGAAAACTCAAAAGCTTTCCTAGAGAGCTGTTACAGCTCTTTTAGAAATTTTCTAGAAACCCAAGAGCTATCTCAAGCAGAGAGAGAGAGAGAGAGAGAGAGAGAGAGAGAGAGAGAGAGAGAGATGTTTTATGCAGAGAATTGTCTCAAGCAGAGAGCTGTGTTTAGGGCAGAATGCTATCTGGAGCAGACTACAGAGCCAAGAGCTACCTACAGAGCTGTCTAGGGAGCCATCTCGAGCAGAACACAGAATTGTCAGCTTGTACCCATGATTGGTTTTGAGTTGTTTCTTCCACTCCTCCCAAACAGCTTTCCTTAGGATCCCCTCTCCATGTCAAGGCTGTTCCTTGGCAATGATTGTTTAATATTTTAAGCAATGTAATTTCTAAAGCCACCACAATCTTGTGAGAGTTGACTGTTAAGACACTTAAATACAACTTCCTCTGGATAAGTACACATGCACTCTAGAGTACATGTTGCTGACTTTCTATTCTATGTCTCTCCTCTTAATGACTGTGTTTATCTGTACTAAAACCTCTTCTGTGTGTGTGTGTGTGTGTGTGTGTGTGTGTGTGTGTGTGTGTATGCTCGAGCGCACAGGTCAGAAGTCAAGCTTAGGTGTTGTTCTTTAGGATTCATTGATCTTGGTTATTTGAGGTCTTTCACTTGGCTGGAAACTAGCTGCATATATCAGGCTGGCTGGCCAGGGAGCCCCGGGGAGCCCCAGGGAGCCCCAGGGATCTGTTTGCCTCAGCTCCACAGAAATAAGATTACAGGTTGGACATTGTGCCAGCTTTTTTACATGTGTTCCCATGTTCAAGCTAAAGTCCTGACCCTTATATGATAAAGAACTTTACCAAGTGAGCACCCCTCAACCTTTTCTGTGTTTTATAAATGCCAGCTTCAAACTAAGTTGAGGTTTCTGAAAGTCACAACACAAACACACACAAACAATGCCTAGGCAGCATCCTAAGCCTACAGCTGTTTGATGTGTTTATAAAAAGATAAAGAGATAAAGAGAATATGCTCTGTGGAGGTGTGGAGAGGTAAGGGGAAAGGGGATGTCTCAGCGGGCCCATGCAGAGGCATCTCTCCCCCAGGGGGACCAGCCTCACACCAGTATTGTTAGACTTTGGTACACAGCTTAGAACAGACAACACCAGACCAAATGGTTCCAAAGGGGAGGGGGTTTATTCAGGACAGAGGGCAAAGGTGGGGAGAGAAACGGGAGGAATGGTGGAGGGAAAAGAGAAAAAAAAGAGAGGAGACAAGTGGAGGCCTGCCATGGCCACATGGAAAGAGGGGGAAGAGAAGGGGGGAAAGGCAAGGGGACAGAGAGAAGCTAGAGGCAAGAGAGCAAGAGCCAGAGGAGGAGGCAAGCAGCCCCTTTTATAGTGGGCACGCCTACCTGGCTGTTGCCAGGTAACCGTGGAGAGGAGCATACCTGGGTGTTGCCAGATAACTGTGGAGGTGGAGTTTAGACAGAATACTAACATTCCCCCGTTTTGGTTTAATTAAAAGAGAAAAATAAGAAAGAGGTGACAGTGAAGCAGGAATAAGGTCATCGTGATATCTGGCTAGTTCTTGTTAGCATTGGGGGCAACGTGTCTTTAGGGGGAACCTAGAATGGTTATGGAGGATGTTTGTCCGGTCTTAGGAGACTTGGCTGTTTCCTGCTGTCCAGGGTCTATGGAGCAAGCCGTCTGAGGATAGGTCAGAAGAAACAGGTCCAGTAGAAGCAGCTGTGTGTGTGTGACAGGAGATGGAGCATCTGGAGGTTGCTTCTCTGGAGCTGTTTTGGATGTGCCTGGACTTGACAAGATCTGGATGGCATCTATTTGGTCTGTGAGAGGTAGATCTGAGTGGGTTTCCTGTAGCTTATAAGTTTACAAAAGAGATAACAGCGTGAGTTAACAGCACGAGCAGTCTTTAAGATGAGCCTTTGTTGGATCGTATAGTGGAATGTTTTATTAGAGTTAGGCAAGTTTATAGGAACTCAGATAATATTAGGACAGAGTCATAGCAAGAAGAGGAAATATGAAGCATTTAATTGATGACAACTCAGTTTAGGTAACGAGGTAACAGATAATATCTGTGAAAGCTTAGCTGTCAATGTAGTCAGAAGTCTGAGTAAGATTAAACAATAATCTACCAGTTATATATTATATTTTAAAAATGACAGAGTCCACTAGCAAACAGTTCCCATGGTCTCCATAGTTTCTTGGGCGAAGTCAGTTTGGCTTCCAAGCGCGGAAGACAGAGGGCTTTTTTCTGTGGAATGGATATGTGTGACATGAGAAATGACTTACCTTGGTTTGACTTAGCTAAGTCATTTGACTCAGAGCATCCAGTCTAGCCCACTGCGTTTGTTAGCGACTAAATCATCACATACAAACTAGGCTGTATCTTCTAGGTGTCCGGTGTCCAAGTCTTCTGAAACCATCTTGGGTTAACTGTTAGAGGCTTTGGGAATTCTGTGGGCCATAAGCTTAAAAAATACTATCAGCAGACTTCTCTGACAAGATTGAGAGCCATAAGGATTGGTTGTAACGAAATAGAATTTAATAGCAGTAGTAAAAATCTATCAAGAGAGCCTTTCCTATCCTGTCTTAAGTAACTTTGGCCGGTTGTGTAGGTAGAGAAAAGCACATTTTTGTATTAGCAAAGAAACATTTGGCTAGGACCAGAATAAGAAAAGCTGGATCGTATGGCTAGGGGGGGGGGGGGGTTGAGTGGCAGCAGCAGCAGGACAGGACTTCCTGCTAGCGCCGGAAGTTGCTGCCCAGTGTCTCTGGTGGCTAGTTTGCAGTAGGCAAGGAAAAGCAAGCGTGTCCCATATCACAGCAATGTTCATGTTAGTTGTTTTTGTAGTGGAAGGCACTGGTAGCACTCACTTTATAGGTCCCAGGCAGAGAGGGAGAGGGAACGCCTCCCTCTGCATGCTCAGGTAGCCAAGCCCTTTGTGCAGGTGATTGTGCATGTGGGGAAGCAAGTCTAGCTGGTCTGATGTAAACCTGCAGATGTCCGCTAGAGTCTCAGCAATTCTCCCATTTTGGTTTAATTTAAAAAGAAAAATTAGCCGGGCGGTGGTGGCACAAGCCTTTAATCCCAGCACTTGGGAGGCAGAGGCAGGCATATTTCTGAGTTTGAGGCCAGCCTGGTCTACAGAGTGAGTTCCACGACAGCCAGGGCTACGCAGAGAAACCCTGTCTTGAAAAAACAAAAAACAACAAAAAAAAGAAAAGAAAAATTAGAAAGAGGTTAAGACCCCTTAAAATAATTGGGTCTAGCATGCCATTAAGTGGATACTTTAGTCCATTATCTAGAGGGTATCGAATCTAGATCTTATTGTAGAGGTGTATCAATTTGGAAGGCCTCAAATTAGGCATTAATTTTAGAACTTTGAGTTTTTTCAGTAGACAATCCAGTGGGGTGTCTGTGGGTACAGTCGAAGACAATGTGGTACCCACTGGGTGACATGGCTGTTACCCAGCTATCAATCAGCGTATTGAAAGAAAAGCTGGCAACAAAAAATCAGACTCAGGCTAGATAATCAGGTCATCAGGAGAATATCTAGGGGCCTCCGCTGAGCTAGTCTGTCAGAAAATAGCCCACCTGGTACCAGGATTTCCAGCAGCTGTGAGAGCTTGGGGTGGGGGTGGGGTGCTGGGAGCTATTTCTGAGAGGGGAATCACCCAATGGCCAAAGTCCTAGGTCATAGTTCAGCTTGAGGCCAGTCATATGGGCTGGGACAATGTAAAGCCAACTCCTTTGCCCTGGGAAGGCTGACCAGACCCTAACTGGGTGTCCAGGGTTCCTCCTGCCAATCAGAAACTCCTTACCAATTAATACGTCAGTGTGTGTTTGCAGGCTTGTGCAGTATGGTATCAGAAAGGTGGAACCATGATGTCTGTGTAGACCTGTCTGGCTGCCTAGCCCACGTGGCAGAGCACCATGTGGGGGCCGCAGCGGCACAGCTCATGTGGTGGACGTTTTGCGAGCCTCTCAGTGGTGGATGGAGTTGGTCTGCAGCAGCGGTGGAAATTCACATGGTTGGTGATGGCAGGTAGCAGCAGATAGTGTCTGCGTGGTGTAGTGGTGGCAGCAATGGTGGTGGGGTTGTGGCAGGCCACATGACGTTGATCTTGTAGGGTCATAGCAGCCTCACAGCAGCTGGCTGTGGCTGCTGGCAGTGGCACAGTTCCTGAAGTCTTCCTATTCTGGGTTTCAGCACCAACGTTAGACTTCGGCGCGCAGCTTAGAACAGACAACACCAGACCAAATGGTTCCAAAGGGGAGGGGGTTTATTCAGGAGAGAGGGCAAAGGTGGGGAGAGAAACTGGAGGAATGGTGGAGGGAAAAGAGAGAGAAAAGAGAGAGAGAAAAGAGAGAGAGAGAGAGAGAGAGAGAGAGAGAGGAGAGAGAAGTGGAGGCCCACCAAGGCCACGTGGAGAGAGGGAAAAGAGAAGGGGGGAAAGGCGAAGGGACAGAGAGAAGCTAGAGGCAAGAGTGTAAGGGAGTAAGAGAGAGAGGAGGAGGCAAGTAGCCCCCACCTTTTAAAGATTTATTTATTTATTTATTTATTTATTTATTTATTTATTTAATGTATATGAGTATGCTGTCTCTGTCTTCAGACACAACAGAAGAGGGCATCAGATCCTATTACAGATGGTTGTGAGCCACCATGTGGTTGTTGGGAATTGAACTCAGGACCTCTGGAAGAACAGTCAGTGCTCTTAACCACTGAGCCATCTCTCCAGCCCCCAAGTAGCCCCTTTTATAGTGGACACACCTACCTGGCTGTTGCCAGGTAACTGTGGGGAGGAGCATACCTGGGTGTTGCCAGATAACTGTGGAAGTGGAGTTTAGACAGAATACTAACAGGTATAGTATAGAATAGAGTTTATTCAGAGCATGGGGAAAGGAGTTAAGAGGGTAGTAGAGGCAGAGAGAGGCAAAAAAAAAAAGAGAGTAGAGAAGTAGAGGCTGGCTATGACCATGTGGAGAGAGGGGGAAGGGAAGGGGGAAGGGGTGAGGGGACAGAGGGATCAAGAGAGTAAGAGCAGGAGATCAAGAGAGAGGAGGGGGCACGCAGCCCCCTTTATAGCAGGCCAGGCCTACCTGGCTGTTGCCAGGTAACTGTGGGGGTGGAGTTTAGGCAGAGTGCTAAACTCCAGAATGTTCCCAGGACATTTGGAAGGCCTGTTAACAGGAGTATAGACCTGGAAATTTGTGACCTGGAAATGTATAAATTTGTGAAAAAAAAACTTAGCATAAAAATCTGGGAGGAGATAATACACTGTCAGATAAAAATCTAGTAAACCCTAGAAAAAATATAACAAACCCAATGACCTTACCATAAGTATGCAGTTTTCCAGGCAGAAGACATTCAGAAACTATCTATCACTGAACATATTTATAAGGAGACTTTTGGCTCCTCTTGCAAGTAAGACAGACCCCCATGTGCTTTCTCAGTTGAGTCAGTAGACTACCTTGAAGGGTAGCCCTTTCTTTGGATAAAAAATGGCCAACTTGTTTTACAAGATAGAAAAAAGTCAGAACTTAGTCATTTTTAAAACCGTAACATTTATTTCATGCTTACCGTGTTTTCATACAATCATCTTAAGTATTATGGTACAATTTTATTAAAGATAGCGAATCACTCTCACCAAATTTTAAAATAAAGCTATATATTAAGTACTTTTAAACTCATTTAACAATACTATATGTGATTTTTGATGGCAAACTTCATTTTGGCATACAGCTCATTTGTCCTTTTGGTTCTGCAGTGAAGAAACATAGATCACACCTGAAGTTCAGATGACAAGAAATCATGATTAATGGCAACCATCAATTTCAACCAGTCAGAAACACCACAGTGCTCTGGGGTTATTCTGATCATTTAGAGTCAAAGTAAAACAGAATTTTTAGCAGCCAGAGTCAGTACCAAGGGTTTAAAATCATCTTGAAAGCTGATTATCTCCACAATATGTTTGAAAGGAAAGAAGATTTGGAAACTCAAGAATTCCCTTTGAAAGGAAAGTAGCAATATTCTTAACTGTGTCTGTCCTTCCAAAGCAGAGATGTCTGTCACATGACACCTGTCACATGATAGATAGTGTGAACTCAGCCACACCTCATCTAGGCAAAGATGGCTGATCTTCCTCACATTACCTTCCATTTCTCAACTAGTCTCCTTAATTATCATGTCTTTTGGGTATCACAGGTAGCCCAGGCTAGCCTTAGATGTGGCGATCCTTCTGCCTCTGCAGTGCTGAGGTTAGAGGTATGAGATAGTAGGCCTAACAAATTAGTTTTTATATAGGGTCTCTGTGTGTAGCCCAGGATGGCCTCAAATTCTATTCTTTAGCATGAATCTTTGTGCTGTGAGCCACCGTGGCCAGTTGTAATTAAACTTCTGGTGGCAGAAACAGCCAAAAAGATAGTACAGTTTTCATTTTAATAAAGATGCCCTTTTAATTAACATATTGTATTAATGGAGAAACAAAAACTATCTTTCTTTGCCTCTGCTTCCCGAATGCTGGGGTTATAGGTATGAGCCATCATACCTAACTTTGAAAAAAATATTTTTTAAGGGAACAAGAAGGAATGTGTCCAAAGTGTGTGGGTAAATGTTATCCCAGGCAGTAAATAAGTAAATATTGTTTCCTCTTTGAAGATCACAGACACACAAATACACATGAAGACCAACCTCATTTAAACAGGCATGGTAGCTCAGTCCTGTAACTCAAGTTCTCAGGAGGCTGAAGCAGAAAGATTGCTGTGAATTTAAGACTAGCCTGTGCTGTCTGTAAGTTCCTGGCCAACATGGACTACATACAGAATAAGACCCTGGTATTTGAAACAAATAACCATAGCAGATGATCTTCCGTCTTCTCTTCAGAGATACCTGATGGCACTTTGGAGTACATCATGCCCTAAGCCTGTTCAGCTGTGTGACTTTGTCCTACATAAGGCTCTATTGTAACAGGGATGAAAGGTAGGAGACTCAGAAGGAATTCAGCCAAGTTTCACAAATCTGGGTATAGCCCAAGATTGTTTTATGCCTCATTCATTAATCAAATTAAATGATTAAACTGTGTTCTACCCAGCACTGACATTTCAGGATCCACAGACTCTGAAGGTTTCATTATAAGCCAGCCTTCAAGTACACTTCACTCCCATCCAATGGTTGGATAAGAATGTGGTTCGAGAGTTTAAAGATTTCAATAACTGCATTCAACTAATAATGCTTCCTTCTCTGTATTTATTTTTAGAAAATTAAAATTGGCCACAGATTCTATGCAAGTCTTCTCATAAAGGGTACTGTTTATTTCTCCCTTCCTGGAGTCTGGGCTGTTTTTATTTATTAATGTATTTTTAAGTATGTATTCATTTTAATTGTATGTCTATAGATGTTTTGCATGTACCTATGTTTGTGCACTATGTGTGTGCCTGGTGCCCAAGAAGATCAGAAGAGGGTGTCAGATTCTGTGTCACTAGAGCGACAGACAGTGGTGAGCCATTATATAGTTCTAGGAAGCAAACTTGGGTCCTCTGGAAGGACAACCTAGGCTCTTCACTACTGTGCTATCTCTCCAGCTTAGAGCTAGTTGTTTGAATTCAAAGCATTCAGATGCTGAGCCACAGGAAAGAAGATGGAAAGTTGTCTCTAGATTGTTTGGAACTACGTGACCAGAACTGTGGCTTGGAGCAGAATGCCCGAGGTCATCTGTGTTAGACAGATTTCTATCTCTATAACAAGATACCTGTGATAATCACCTGAAAAAGAGAACAGGGTTATTTTGGTTCACAGTTTTTGAGAGTTTTAGTCCATAACTGATTGGCCCCATTTGGTACTAACTCACCATTGAGCCGTGTGGTAATTTAGGACATCGTCTGAGAGCAAATGGTAGAACCAAATGGCTTGTCTCATGGCCAAGAAATAAATGATGAAAAACAGCCAGGGTCGCACTGTCCCATTAGGGGCAAACCTCCAGTTACCTGCGGTTCTCTCACCAGGTCCTACCATGTTTTTGTTTGTGTCTTTGAGGCAGTATTTCATGTGGGCCAGCTTGGCCTCAGACTTGCTTTGTTACCAAGGCTGTCAGAGAATTCCTGATCCTCCTGCCTCCACCCCAAGGAACACCAAAGACAAAAAACAGCTGAGATTCATCTCCTAAGGTGTTATCATATCTGAGTGTGGGGCTGTATGCCTTTACTTCCACATAGGAAGTGCAGGGTCAGGAGCTTGCCACTGTCTCAAAAGAAACCAACAAACAAAACAGACAGAAATTAAAGCCATGTGGTAAGGCCCCCTACTTAGTAGCTGGGCTGTTTTGAGCATATAACAAACCAACTCATTTATGAACAGGGTTCATCATTCATAAAATGGATGATGATGATAACGGTCCTCACCTCTTGGGCTGATTAAACAAGAACAACAAAATAACCATAAGGTTTTAGCACAGCCCGGAGCAAAGGCTGAACGTAAGGCCTCTAAATAGGAAGTCTGGGCAGATAGGCAAGGGGTTGGAGCTCTAGAGAAGCAGGCTGTGGTACATGGTAGTTATGACAGGTACTTCAACTTGAAGAACATTGAATTTGCTCAGACCCAGTCTCCCCACATGAAAAATGAAAGTAATAACATCTATCTTAAAAGGGTGTGAGGAGGACGGTGAACTCGGTCAGTAAAGGTCAGTCAATGCTACAGCACAGAGCCTCACTCGCAGTATAAACATACTCACGTGGAGAGAATCTCTCTCAAACAAAGATTGACGTTAGTAATGTCAGCCATCCCATGGCACTTCAAAATCCTACACTTTCCTTACTAAAGCTAGAAATGTTAGATTAATATGTTAATAAAATCCATTTCACTAATACCAATAACGGGATGATCACCTCTCATTAAGAAATCACTCAGGTGTAACCACTATTATTTTGTTGATGGATAATAAGAAAGTAGCATCTCTGTTCAAAATTCATTCTGCAAAATGGTTCTCATCTGGCACTTTGAGGAATATCCTGTACATACCAATACCCCAAAGGCACTCCCCTGCTCATGTTTTTTGTTTTGTTTATTTGTTTGTTTTGACACAGGGTCTCCTGTAGCTCAGGCTCCTTTTGAACACCTGATCTTTCTGCCTCTACTTGCTAGGTGCTAGGCTTATAGGAACATGCTATCATGTCTAGTTCTAAGGAAGTCTGTTTTAGATAAAAGAAACATGCATAAGTGAGATGAAGACTCTAAACCAAGATGGAGATTGTAGTGGCAAGCAAATCCCTAAATGAGCAGCATATCCCGTGACATGAAAAAGCTTGTAAAAATCCAGGCTAAGAAGGCATTTGGAGTGTCAAGTTTTGTTGCACTGAAGCCAAGTCCCTTAAATGTGGACACTTGCCGATGCAATCTTGCCAGAGGCTTGACTGTGAGTCTTCCATGGGTATGGACAGATCTCTTTGCTTTCACAATCAGTATACTTTAAATGAACACCAGAAAACTGCTGGAGCTGGCTCCTAAGGCAAAACCATCCAGGTCCAGTGAGAGCAAAGAGGGGCAGGCAGTTGGCAGTCCATCCTCACACCCCATGGCACAGAGGTCTGTTTTATCTTTCACTTCAAGCCACAACTGAATCAGGTTAAACTGAAAGTTGATGACAAAGGCAGAAATTAGGTAGAAGTCAATAGTTGGAGGCTACCTAGCAAGATCCTGTCTCAAAACAAATAAACAAACAACAACAAAAACCTAACACTTAAAACAGAGAGGAAGAAAGTTACTTTGTGAAGACAGCTTCTAAGCTGTTAAATGCTTAAGGACCTTCTTGGAAACTGGTGTTAGCTGGTCGAGTTTCTGGGGATGCTGCTTTCATTTTAAGCTGAGTGAAATCTAGCTCTAACTAACAGATTCAGGCTAATTTTGGTAAAAACTTTAAAAAAAATTAATGTGGGGTTTCATTATGTTGCCCAGACTTAAATTACCACCAGAACTCAAGTGATCATCCTCCTGCCTCGGCATCCTAAGTAGTCCAGATTGCAGGTGTTAGTTCCGTATTCCTGGCACACAAGCACAGGAGACATGATGTAAAACTATTGTACTAACTATTCTTTGAACTTCTAAAAGTGGCATTTTTCTGTGTTGCTAATTTGGTTTTACAACAACTTCCTACAGACATGAAAAGTAATGATTGACAGCTGTAAACTGGGCTCAAGTAAGGCAATTCCACCCCACTGGGAACCTGGTTCCCGACTGTCCTCTACACTGGCCTGTGTGTGCGTGTGTGTGCCTGTGTATGTGTGTGTGGTGTGCACTTGTGTGGAAAAAATCTCTTGTGTTAAGACAGGCACTCACATTGTTAGCTGATGCTGGCCTTGAACCGGCAGCACTTCTGCCTTATGCTCCTGAATGCTGGGATTATAGCCACCACACCCCTGTTGTGTTTTGGTTTTTAAAGATGTGTCACCCAGTTCTTCCACATTCAAACAGCATATGAAAGTCAAGGTGTATAGGTAATAAAGATCTGTAATGTAGCAATTATCCATTTGTCTGTCAGTCTCTCCATGTCACTGTTGTGTTGTTCTGGGACAGGGTACAAGCGGGATGTCCTCCTGCTCAGCATTCCAACTCCTCCATGACTTCCATGACAATGGTCCTTGGGCCTGTCAGAATCAGGTTGCTCACGGTGCGGTAGTCCACATTCAGCACATTGAGGCCATTGACAGAGACGACAAACTGACAGACCTAAAGGAATGATAGAAAGGATGTCAGTTTGGGTTGAAGGATGCAGCTCAGTTGATAAATTGTCTGTCCAGCATGGCCATAATCCTAGTGCTGAGGGGCGGGGGCAGTAGGTCAGAAGTGGTTATTCTAGGTTACATGAAAAGTTCAAGGGCAACCTGGGGTAAGTGAGATCCTGTCTTAGATACAAGTGCACACAGAGACACCACAGACAGACAGACAGACAGACAGACAGACAGACACACAGAGGAAGAGAGAGAGAGAGGGAGAGAGAGAGAGAGAGAGAGAGAGAGAGAGAGAGGGAGGGAGGGAGGGAGGGAGGGAGAGAGAGAGAGAGAGAGGCAGACAGACAGACACAGAGTAAGAGAGAGACAGAGACAGAGCTAGAGAATGTAAAGAAGAGGGATGCTCAAGTGTTAAGGGCCTACCATTCAAGCATGAGCACCAGCGTTTGGATCCCTGGGAACTCAAGCGTGGTGGTTTGGATAAGAACGGCCCCATAGGTTCATATATTTGAATGCTTAATCACCACGGAGTGGCACTATTTAGAAGGATTAGAAGTCAGAGGTGTGGCCTTGTTAGAGGAAGTGTATCACTTGGGTTGGGGGGTGAGGGTGGGGAGGTGAAAGGGTGAAATGGGGTGGTCCTGAGGTTTCAAAAAGCCCAAGCGTGGTCCAGTGCCATTCTCTCTCTTGCCTTGTGTACCAGGATAGAGCTCTCAGCTACTGCTCCAAGGCCTTGTTCTTTGTCGTGAAGATAATGGACTAAGCCTCGGAAACTGTAAGCAAGCTCTCAATTAAATGCTTTCTTTCATAAGAGTTGCCTTGGTCATGGTGTCTCTTTGAAGCAAAAGAACAGTGACTAAGACATCATGTAAATCCCAGGTGTGTGTGGCAGCTCACCTAGAAGTCCATACTTGGAAGGCAGAAACAGGGATTCCTGAAGCAAGCCAGCTAGCCAGATGAGCCAACTCGGTGAGTACACACACACACACACACACACACACACACACACACACACACGAGGTGAGGGTGTGGGGGGAGAGGAAGGCAAGAGCCAGGGGGTGGGAGGAAGGGAAAGACATGAGGGATACAGAGACGTGAGCTACTCAGAGCCTTTGGCTGGGATGATTAACCCAGTGATGCTCTGTCTGTGGGTCTCACCATCCCAAGCCTATAAGTGCATTTGACTGGATAGCTGCCATATATGTCTGTGTGAAATACTAAAACCGCTGGGAACCTACCATTTCCTTTCTTATTGATTTCTGTCCAAGCAATATCAATATAAACTTAATCTAAAATTAATATCAAGTCCAAAAATATTTATACCTATTCCCATTACACACCCAAATGGGAAAACATCAGAATCACAGCCTTAGTTCTGAGAGAGAGAGAGCGAGAGAGCGAGAGCGAGAGAGAGAGCGAGAGCGAGAGAGAGAGCGAGAGCGAGAGAGAGAGAGAGAGAGAGAGAGAGAAGAGAGATTTTGTAATACTAAAATAGGGATTTATATTTTATGCTCCTTTGATGATGACCTCAGACAGCTCACTTCTCTTCTATATCATGTGCTCCAGGATATAAATCCATCACTTGGAGCTCTGCATGCAGCTCAGTTGGTAGAACGGTTGCCTAGGTTTCATTCCCAGAACCTTATAAGCTCAGTGTGTAGTACTGTGCACATGTAATATCAGCACCTGGAAAGTGGGGGTACTGTGCACATGTAACGCCAGCATCTAGGAAGCAGAGGCTGGACAGTCAGAAGTTAAAGAATAACCTTGGCTGGATAGTGGAGTTGGAGGCCAACCTAGGTTACTTAAGACTCTGTCTCAAAAAAAAAAAAAAAAAAAAAAAAAAAGAAGTAAAAAACAAATAAGCATTACTCATTCATAAAATACACAGGTAAAAATGTCTATCCACTTAGGTTCAAAATACACAGTGAATAAAAAACATTCCTGAAGATATCACGCAAGCACTTGGCTTGACTAATTTCTTCCCCTTTTAAAATGGTCAATTTTAGCTAGTGTGTGGTAGAACAGACCTTTAATCCCAGCACCTGGGAGGGAGAGGCAGGCAGATTTCTGAGTTCGAGGCCAGCCTGGTCTATAGAGTGAGTTCCAGGACAGCCAGGGCTATACAGAGAAACAGGTTTCTCTGGAATAAAGTAGACATCTCATTCTTTAAGTGTTAGGTCTGCTCAAATGTCCATGGGGTAGTGGTGCACCCCTATAATCTGAGCTATTTAGGAGATTGAGGAAGAAGGTTGGAGAGTTCAAGTCCTAACAGGACTGTATAGTAAGAACGAGTCTCAGCCAGGCAGTGGTGGCACATGCCTTTAATCCCAGCACCTGGGAGGGAGAGGCAGGCAGATTTCTGAGTTCGAGGCCAGCCTGGTCTATAGAGTGAGTTCCAGGACAGCCAGGGCTATACAGAGAAACCCAGTCTCGAAAAACTAAAATAAATAAATAAATAAATAAATAAATAAATAAATAAATAAATAATTTAAAATGCCCTATAGGCCTGCCTGCAGCCTGATCCTCATGGGAGCATTTTCTCAAAGTTCCCTCCTTTTAGATGACTCTAGTTTGTGAGTCAAGTAGACACATGACTAGCCAGCACACATGATAACACATACCTGTAATCTAGCACACTAGAGCTTGAGACAGGAAGACAGAAAGTCTGAGCCCATCCTAGGCTATGAAGAAAGATCTCCAAAAAAAGAAGGGGAGAAAAAGGCTAACCATACTGTCTACATATAAGAAACAATTATTGTACCTTCTCTAATATTTGAACTCAGGACCAGCCAGATATACAGGGCAAATCTGAGGTCATACAGTGAGACCCTATCTCAAACTTAAAACAACAAAAAGTGTGTGTGCGGGAGAGGGTGTTTGCTTTTTTTGTCCCATTTTCCTTCTACTTATAATTATCACAATTACATACTTTCAAAAATCAGATTAGGAGCTGGAGAAATAGCTCAGTGGGTAAAAGTGCTTGAGTGTTTGCTGAAAAGAATGGACATCTGAGTTGAAAGGCCCAGTACCCAGGTATGTAGGGATCCAGCTGGATCTTGATAGATCAATAAAGATGCTAGCAGCCAATGGCTGGACGGAATAGGTGGGACTTTGAGGCTCCCACAGGCAGGCTAGTGAATAAAGGAAGAAAAAAAGATTTCACCACTTTTTGGAGGGAGAGAGAGCCACCAGTCATCTGAGATCTCTAGTGGAGTGGCCATTGACTACTTCCCGACTGGGCCTGGGGTACAAAGTGGGAGACTAGAAATGCAACCAAGTGGAGGGCAGATTTAGGTGCTGAGCTAGGACTAAAGGTAACTGAGTAACTATGTTGATGGCAGAACTGGAGGTGTTGAGCTGGGAATGAGGATAAGAGCAAGTTAGCCACGGGAGGCTTAGAAGTGTCCCGCCACTGAGCCAAAATCCATGGATCCAGGGTAGCTCCTGGGTGGGTGGGGCTGGTAGCAGGAAGCCCATCCTGAGCTTAAAGCAGGGTAGTAGAAACTACATGCTACACAGGTAAAAGGTGGGTATGGCCTCATATGCCCATAACTCCTCTGTGGGGGAAAGAGAGACAGGAGAATGGCAGAGAGAGAGAGAGAGAGAGAGAGAGAGAGAGAGAGAGAGAGAGAGAGAGAGAGAGAGAGAAAATGGAATCCACTGAGCTCCAGGTTCCCTGTAGAGCCTGGAAAATGACATGGCAAGACTTGCAGAATTTTCTTCTGATGTCTGTATACATGGATGTCAATCCTATGTGCACAGACACATACAAACATACACACACAGGATCATACACACAGGGTAAGAATAAGTCTTCCATTTTTCCAGTTCTTAACAATGCAATCATTTCTTACCAATAACATAAACTGAGATGATATTTCAAATCATTTTCCAGAATAAAGAAAAAAAAATGCCTCAGAACCTTACTCATGCTTGTATCTATGGTGGTATTTTTAGAGTCCCGCTGTTGGAAAGACGTGTCACCTCTCCCTAAGTGGCCTCAATAACTGTGTGGTTCAAGCAGTTTCTACATCCTGTTGTTTAAATGTTCCAGATGATCTAGCTCCACAGGTCCCATGGTGGTGGGCTCTTCCGTTAGCACCTTTGGTACACCACACTTTCTTTGCAAATCAACACACATTACAAGTAACAGCAGGAAGCACACAGCCTAGAGGGAAATTAGTTCTCCTCTCTGCTAAAAAGTACACCCACATAAACACACAGAACAGATGACTGGCGCTGGCTAGACAGGTCACTTTAGGAATATAATTTCTCCCCACTGGGCCAGAGGCTTAGATGTACACCTACTAGAAGTGACTGGTGAAGTAGTCATGTTTTCCTTTCACTTGTGTGTATCTTTAACAGACATGCCTGTTTGCAAAGATTATATTGCAGTTGACTCGTTCCCTCAGTTCTCTCTCTCTCTCTCTCTCTCTCTCTCTCTCTCTCTCTCTCTCTCTCT